CAAATTTAGAAAATGCTGAGCATATCTGTATTTCTTGTGGGAAATGGCAAAACTCATTGGCGTCTGCTGCAGAATAGAAGCAAAATGGCATGTATGAATGCCCCAGAACAGGGAGGCCCCAGTATGAGGAAGTATAGCCTGGAAAGCATCTGGAGGGTGCTGAGATAGAAGCTGGAATTGGGAGAGACCCAATCTGGCATCTGAACTAAATCATCATTAGATAGTATGAACTCCCCTTGAGTTTTTTTCTTAAATACTTTGTTTCTCTAGAATAGTTTTAGGTTCACAACAAAATTGAGAGAATTGTACCAAGTCTCCCTATAGCCCCCACCCTCCCTTACACACAGCCTCCCCCATTATCAATATCCTTTGAATTGTTGTTTTTTGGGTTTTTTTTTTGTTTGTTTGTTTTTGTTTTCACTATAGGGTGTGTGTGTGCTCATGAGAGAGAGAGAGATAGAGAGAGAGAGAGAAAGAGCAAGAAATCACCCTCCAGGGGGAATGGCCATGCCACAATCACCTCTCCTCCCTTCTCTCCTCGGGATTTTGGGCACACACGCACACATACCCATTGTGTCCCTCCATCTTCTGGGTGCAGAACTTGAACCACAAAGCTAGTCATGTGGGATCCAGCTGCCCTAACCACCATGTCACTGCCACTGGTTAGCCCTATTCCTTGAATTTTTTTTTTTTTGAGAGATTTTCACTATAGGGCGCGTGCGCTCGCCAGACAGACAGAGAGAGACATTAGAGACAGAAAGCGAGAAATCACCCCCAGGGGGGATGGTCACGCCGCAATCCCTTCTCCTCCGTTCTCCTCTCGGGATCCTGGGCATGCATGCACACGCGCCCGGCGTGAGTTTTAAGCCACCGGGTCCGGGACGTGAACCGCGGTCGACTACGTGGGAGTCCAGCGACACAGCCATCACGCCAACTGCTGGTTCCCTTCCTTGAATTTTTACAACAAAGTTGACTAGCGTCAATGGCCTATGGCCATTATTTCTCTCTTGGTCAAGTCCTAGGTTCTTCATAATACCAATTAACGCATACTGAAGGCCTTCTCTGTTTTAGTCTCTTTGCAAATACTCGTCATTTCCTCTATCCAGGTCGTCTTATAAAGCAAGGGTTTACAAATGAAGGATCTGAGCTCAGAGAAGTTAGCAACTTGCTCCAGTTTCCACAGACCATGACTCTACAGTCTTCCAGTAAACCACACTGCCTCTCCTGCCTCATTCCACAGTCATCTTCTATCTGCACAGAGGCTTCCCAGAGTCCTGGCTTTCATTTCTCTCCCCCTAACAGTATGTCTGAGACTGCTTCCTGATATTGGCCAACTTTCCGTAGCACAGTGAATAGAGGACCTTGTGTAACAGTGTTGTAACCCAACAGGTACAGAGAGTACAGGTGCTGTGATTGCCACGAAAGAGGATGAAAAACCACCCTTGGCTCTCCCTGCAGACATGTCTGAGGCCATCCCAAGCTCCTGGAGCTTGGAAAACATTCCCACTATCTAAAGAGTAAAACAAAGTCATCTATCTAGCAAGCAGTTCAGTAAGTGTTCTTGAGCAGTTGATAACTTGGTGATTTTTGTATCTTTATTATGGGTCATGGCATGGAAGGGATGATAACTTCAGGATAATTTTTCTGTGGTTTGGTTCTGTAAGTTTAAAGGACAAAGTCTACTCCAAGACCTTGAACAGACTTTTCTGGGCAGGCCTGCCACAGACTTGTTCTTGTCCAGCAACTTCATTGTAGAGATAACTGAATTTCTAAGCCCAGGAAGAAGAAAGGATTTGCCTGAGGTCATACAGCCAGTTAGTGCAACAATGGAAATCAATTCCTGCTTTGGCGAAAAGTACTCCCAGCAAGTAAACACTCCCTAGTCTCTGCTGTGCCACCAAATGACTGCAGTTATTACTCCTGTCCCCTAATTTTTCCAAAATGAGCTGTGACAAGAATGACTAGGAGAGGAGCTCTGGGCAAAACCTATCAAAATGGACTAGCAATGCAACACGGGCGAGCAGTCTCAAATGAAAGGTATGGCCTTAATACCTCTGTGTGGCTGGACTGACCATGTCTGCATTGTCATCGGGTGAGAATGCGGCTGAAACCTTGCTGTTATTCAACCCTTTTTAGCCACATCTTTCAGTCCCCAGCCCTAGCCTCAAAGAAACAGGCCTCCTTTCACAAACTAACCTCAGCTCAAAAGCAGCCCACCCAAGATATTGGCAATAAAGCCTTTGATTCTTTTCTTTTTTTTTAAAGAGAGGTTTGTGTGTGTGTGTGTGTGTGTGTGTGTGTGTGTTTTGTTTTGTTTTGTTTTGCTATAGGGCACATGCGCTCATCAAAGAGACAGAGAAAAATCAGCCCCTTGGAGGGATGGCCATGACACATTCCCTTCTCCTCCATTCTCCTCTTGGGATTTTGGGCATACACGGACATGCACCCGACGTGAGTTTGAAGCCACCAGGTCTGGGACTTGAACTACAGTCAACTAAGTGGGAGTCCAGCGATGTAACCACTACACCATCTGCTGATCCCAAGCCTTTGATTTTTAAGTGGAGTCTCAAATACTCATACATAATAAATAGAAGGTCAGGATTTTCAAAATGTAAGGATAAAACAGACCTTATGTTCCAAGAGCAATTCTAGTGTACATTATCACATATACTGTGGACATTACTACATTAGAACATCTTTTTTTTATAGACCACAGATTAGTCTATTTTTAACACCCATCATGCCATGAATTCATAGGGAATAGGTTCCAGTAGCTCAGGCTCCTTTCCATTGGTTCTCACAAAGTGTGCTTCTCTGGGTGGAGCAGGCTGGCGCTTCAGTTGAACCCAGGTACCTTTCTCTTTGGCTTCTTTCTTTTCTGGTCATTTTCCTTCACGCGTTTTAGGAAGCCACCTCTGCTCTTAGAATGCTTAATATGCTCAATACACACATTCATTCTCTTGGCTAGAATCTTGCCCTTAACTTGTTTGTTCAGAACATGCTGGGTAACATTGTAGACTCTTCCAGTTTTGCCATGGTAACACTTGTGGGGCATTCCTTTTTGAACAGTACGCATTCCCTTGATGTCTACAACAGCACCTTTCTTGTAGGAACCACTCCATGTTTTCTAAAAGGCCTAGAGAATATATAGTGGGTGCTTCTCCTATTTCCCTTTGTGTTCATCATTTTGGTTAATAACTGGAAGATGGCGGTTCCGCCCAAAAGGCACTACATTAGAACATCTTAAGAGCCCGGCAAACTGTGTAGGCCAAGGATCTTTGTCCTTGTTTTAGGGATGAGGAAACCCTGCCAGTGAATAATCTATGATGTAATTGGAGAGAAAGCAAGTGCATGTTAAATGACTCAAGAATAAGACAAAGCGAGATGTCCACTTATGTCATGGACAGTTTGCAAGGTCTGAAAAGACGTAGAGTCCAAGGGTAGCGTGAAGCAAACAGGAGCAAGAAGCCTCCCAAAGCGAGGAGATGTCTGCCTTTGGAAACTTGGCTTCTCTGGCATCATACAATTATTCTACACTGGATTCTCATGTGAGCTGTACCAGTTACATTTTCCACAGCCACATATTGTACCACAAACCAGTCTGACCTGCAAGGGAAGAATAAGCTTTGGTCCTTTTGCAATGTTCTGCTGCCTAACCAGTTTGTGTTTGCAAAATCCACACATGACCAGGTCAAGATGGAGATGCCCCAGTGAAGGAAGGGTGGTTGCTTTATGAGGCCTTGCCTAGGATCCCTTCTGGGCCTATTAGGACTTCAAATGCAGTGGAGATGAAGGATTTCATTTCATCAAATGTATGAATGTCTTGTCTGGACCAGGCGCTGTGCTTAGCTGTGGGCCAGGTCTGAAGAATTCCTGGTCTTGGTAGGAGAGAAAGGAAGACTTACATAGGACTAGTGACTACCTAAGTTAGGAAGAACTGCAAAGCAGAATAAGCAGTGTTCTATGGTGATGAAGCAGAAGTTAATGGTTCTCATGGACGATCATGGAAGGTTAGTGGAGGAAGTGGCATTTCCACTGAGCCTTAAAACATAGGCAGGTATTCCCAAGGTGAGAGGGGCGTTACAAAGTGAGAGAATCTGTGAACAAAGAGAGGCACCAGAGGCCTGAGCCTGCTGCTTGGATAGGGCAACTGGGGAAATATTTTGGGGCCTTATGTTTGTGGAGAGGGCATCTGGGGCTGCAGAACTTTCTCTTCCTTACTGAGCATTTTAGTAAAAATCAATTGTGAAAAGTCTGTCTTTAATGAGACCCTAAGGGGCCTGTGGTGGTTATTGACAAGGTAGCTTCCTTTCAGGAGAGAATGTTTGGGGCAGCCAGTGCTGGTTGTTGTCTCAGGCACCACTGTCTTCCACGATGGCCTGTTTGTTGAGACAGTACTGAGCGCATCAGAATAAAGTTGGAGAGGACCTCACATGCCAGCAGTTCCTCAGTAGGAAGGTTTTAAGCAGAAAAGTAACAGTCACATAGATAACTATCACATTGACAGATCCCACTGGTTGCTGTGTGGGGAAATGGTGTAGACACAGGTAAGAGTGGAAGAAGAGAGACCAAAGAGAGGCTTGCACCTGTCCAAGCAAAAACAGCCGTGGGGTCCAAACAGGGTCTGTAGGGCTGAGGGTGGAGTGGAGAAAATGACCATCAGTAAGACGCGTCACACAGGTGGAAGCAGTGGCCTTGGTACACACTGGGTGTGTGGATGTGCATGGCCATGCGCGTGTGTAGGGGAGTGAGACAGAGCAGGTCAGGGGTGACTGTCTAACAAGTGCAAGGAGGATGCCCTCTGTGAGTCTCCCTCCCCTCGAAAGGCGGTGGGAGGAGAGGGTAGGTCAGAGGGCAGGGAAGGAAGAAGTTTGGAGCTCTGGGAGCGAAGAAACCCGGAGAGGCCAGGTGGCAACAGCGAAGCCCCGCCCTCCAGCTCTGTCCCCGCCCCCGACTCCACCTCTTCTTCCTCTTCCCACCCACCCCCGAGCCGAGGCTCATCCTCGAGGGCGGAGAGAGGTGGCATTTGAGTCCTCCGGTATCCCAGCAGGCAGTGCAACCCAGAGACGCTGACAAAGGAGCGGAGGAGCAGTCGCAGCTGCTTTCCGAGGAGCCGGTGTTGCCGAGGTGAGAGT